GAGAACTATAATGTTTTGAAGCACGAGTTGAGCTAGTTAATATATTCTTTTGTAAAGCTCCTTGATAGTTGGAAAAACCCTAAATGTACTTGATCCAAATATCTTCTTTTTATTTTGTAAATTACAAATGTATGTGTATAACACTGTTTAACCCTATTCATGTATCCTAGTTGGTTTGGAAATGTTTTTTCGAATTATATGGCGATATCTATATTCGATTGGATTCTGGTTGGATGGTGGCGTGGCAACCGTTATTCATTTGCGGTTTCGATTTTCGTTTTGCCATTTTGCAATTTTGAATAGAATGAGCACGCTATTACCTTCCGGAACGTTTTAAATTGTATTTAACTGTCTCGTTAGTCCTGGCAAGAGTTGGGCAGCGAGTCTGCTAACTCTTTTGGTACGCCTTAAGGAAAAGTGAGACTGTCACAAATTTTGTTTTTCCCTATAAAACTTTTAGAGCTAGAATATATGCCCTTTTGAGTTTTATAATTTTTGTTTTCAACTCCTTAACAACTAGTTCCAAAAAAAAAAATTGTTTTTCTAGGAGAAAGTTCAGCTTTCATTCCTCAAATTATTAAAAAACAAAAATCATCTTTTGTTTTTCTTTCATTAAATCGTTGGGAGAGGACATTTATGACAAGGTGTCAAACAGAAAGTAAATAGGATTTGTATTTGAATATTATATGTTAATCAATTTTTCAAAAATTCTGTTTCCGATAATTGAATACCATTATAGATACATTTTATATGAATTATTTTTCACGACTTCAACTACACCCCAATATTTTCCTTCATCAGATGAATGATTTGGCCTATTTTCCCTCACTTCTTCCTGATTAAACCATATAACAAGAGAAAATTGGAGTATAAAAAAAATAGAGATAATTTTTCTATGGTTAGGTTATCTAAGTATCTCAAACCCCTCCCTCCCTCCCGGATTATATATGCACATAAACAGTGCCCAAAGTATGCGCTATTTTTTATGGCATTTTTTATTTTTATTTTTTACATAATATAGTTTTAATGATTTTTTTGCCCTTTTTCTTGTCCTTTTCTGCGCAAGAAGTGTGAAAATATTGGAGGTAGTATTGTCATTCTATCTGTTCTAATTGGGACAATGGGTCACATTATTGTCTTGCCAGGGCGGTAAGTGTGATTTCTGAAAATTAGGAAATGCTACGTGTGATTAAGGGAAACCTCAATGGAGGTGTTTGAAATCAACCCAAAAACAAAACATACTTGACAAATGCAATTAGACGTTTCCGGAGAAACTACGAAGCCGGCAAACGCAACAAGAGCAGCTAATCAGACGCCTTCTGCCCTGGCATGTAGCTCAGAGTAAAAACTCAAAGAGTCAATATGCATTCAGGAATGATCTTTGTTCTAGCCATCATTATCATGCGTAGCAATTCCAGGAATAACAACTGTAACAGGATCAAGTCGCCTTTTCTGTTCTACTTCTTTCAGCACAACAAATTTCAGCAAAAGATTCAATGCAAAGGCCCATGAGGCGATAACCCAGACACCTCCTTCCTTCGCCCATAATCCTATCGAGATTGCTATTAGGCGGCACAATTGACAAGAAGGTTAACGAAACGAAACGAAACTAAAAAGCATACCCGAAGGACAAATGCCAAATGGGAATCGGTTGGTTCTTGTCGAGTTCCCATAGGCTAAAGCATTTCCCTGGTTGAGTTGCTTTCCCTGCCAGCCTCTTTCTTTCCTGATCGGACGGTTTTCTCAAATTTCAAAAATATTCACAGGGTTGTTTCATTTTCCATAAGATCAATCATGATCTTGCTATTACCTGCAAATAAAATTGTAGTTTTACTTTTTACCAAAGAGAAAACTCCAAGGTGAAATCAAATAGGGATCCCTTCTCAATTTAAAAATAGGCTGGGACTAACACGAGCAGACCATCCAGTTTGCAATTTGCATTTGAAACTTCCAACCTCGGAACTGCTTTCTAGGAGTAATCGAATTTCAACCGCTCCCACCTTCCAAGCGAGGCTGTTTAAAGTTGATTCAACCGAAACGGCTTTCTACCACTGGGCCGCGCCGGAAGGTTAAGAGTTCAAAACCGCTTCTTACTATTAATAATCTGTTTAGGGTTACTCCTCTGTCTATTTAATAGTATGTCCTGCTTTATGTTTTGATTGGTTCCAAATTATTTGACATGATTTAAAATAAAAACAAATAAAATCTCAACGTTCTTGCTGTACCGTTCATACAATTTTTAAGGAAAAGTATTTAACGAAATAATTTTGGACACATTAAGGTTGTGTTTGGATTGCATTTTTCATGATTTTTCATGGAAAATTACTGTAGCGATTTGATGTATATGAGGGAAAAAAGTAATAGGGAAATGTGATCACGGAAAACAACGTAATTTTTCGACGAAAAGTTGCAATCCAAACAAGGCCTAAGTTTTCTCCCAATAAATCATGCTATAAACTTTCTTTGTTTCTTGATAGTTGTGTCTTCTTAGAAAAATTCAAACTCAACTAACAAAACGTTTAAGTTTAACTGAGAAGTAATAATTGAAAAGAATTACTTTGATAGTTAATGTGTTTTGATCACATTTTACTTTTCTCAAACTATATGCAAAATTAATTATGACATGATATACAAGATGGGAGGAAAGCACAGCTAACCTTGGCATTTTCTTGCTAAATATGACGAGAAGCTAGGCATGCTGTCCAAGTATCCCTCCTCAACTCTGGTCCTTTTGTGATCAACTTTCTTGCAGTGCTCATGTTGCAATTACAAACATCACCAGCTACTCTCGATTCCGTTCTCTCTATTCAATTGTCCCCCTATCCTCATCTAGTTGATGCAGACGTTTAGGAAAGAAAAGAAATAATTTTGGACACATTAAGTATTATAATTTTATTGTTTAACACTTGCATTAATCTTTTCTATAGTGATAGTGTATACATGGCTAATATTGAATGAATAACAATTATGTAAAATTTGAATTTGAACTCCAATTTTTTATATGTGTGTCATAAATCTAATGGTGATATTACATACACTGTCAGTCAGTGTATATAACATTTATTCTTAACATTTTATGAGTAAAGTTGATATTTCGAAAAAAAAAAGTTTACAAAGGTTAAGTGGAACTTTCTTTCCATTTTTAGGATCAAAGTTCTTTGCTATCATTCCATTACCTTCCACTTTCTTTTCTTTTCTTTCCACTTAAAAGTGCGAAAACAATTTGTTCCCCCCCCCCACCCCTCTCTCTCTCTCTCTCTCTCTCTCTCTTATTTTCCATTATTTTCTCTCCAACTCTCAACTCTCGAATTAAACCTTAATATTTTTTGGGTGATACATTTAGTTCTGTCACACGCACATGGTCGACACCAAAATAAAAACTTGAGTTCTTACGCTTAAACTACTTGATAGGCAAAGCTAAATTTAGGGTCAACCCCCAAGGTCATAGCTTTTATCTCAGGTTTGTTTCGTAAGATTTAGTAAAAATGAACTAAAAGAAAACTAGTCAAACACTTCAAATATTTGAATAGGAGATTATTTAGAAAATTTATTTGAGAAAAAAACATTGTAACAATTTTTTTTGAGATGATGATATATGTAAGATAAATGAATAATTGAAAAATATGTTTGTGATGAAAGCAAAAAAACATCTTGAAAAATACAAACAAGTGATTCAATTTTTGCCAATAGGACAATAAATATTACATCTTCTATTTTCCAATAATGCATTTTTTTTTCTATAAATACAATACCTATCTATTTTTTATAATGTGACACATCATAAAAATGTAAACCTATGTTGAAGTAGTATGTTATTACCTAATAAATAGGCATATTCTCCAGAAAATATATAAAAATTGTACATTTTATTGTGAACTAGTTTTTTTTTTTTGACACAATACTACTAGAGTTTTTCTAACAAAGTGACGAGCTTTTCTTTTACAATAAAGTAGAAAAAAAGGACTGTACTTCTTTTTTATTAGTACAATTAGGGTTGTAAATGAGTCAAGTCGAGTTGAGTTTTGGCTTAATCAAGTCGAGTCTTGACTTAATTTTAGTGAACTCGAACTCGAACTCGAACTCAACGAACCGACAATTTAAAGCTCGAGTTCAAGTTCGACTTGATTCGAACGAGCTCGAGTTCGAAAAAAATAAAAAATAATTATTTTATTTTTTAAAAATAAATAAAATAATATTTTTCTTAATAAATAATAAAATATTAAGGATATATATGTAATTTTACTATTAAAATAAGCAAAAATAAGAAATATTTATATACTTAAAATAAAAAATTAAAAAAATATATATATATATATATATTCGAGCTCGCGAGCCGGATCGCGAGCTAACGAACTTAATATCTTGAGTTCGAGTCGAGCTTGACTCGAGCGGCTCGCGAGTGATTCGGTTCGTTTGCAGCCCTAAATGCAATAATTATGATCATTTGATATATTTTTCTACTAAATCTTTTACATGTTGTTCCTAATAAGAGAGTAACACATTTTTTTCCTAACAAATTGATCCCTTTTTTTTAATAAGAAAGTTTTACTTTTTTTTCCCTTTGTTTGATGTAAATGAAATGGGTCGAAACTAAAAATTGAGACTTTTCACTTGTACTCTCTAGCCACTCTCTCCTCCAAAAAAACTGCTAATAAAGTGGCACTTAATCAAGTTTCAAGTCCTTAAAGTCAACATCCCTGAATGATACAAGTTTGAATAAGACGACGACTATGTAGTTTATCATGTTCTTAAATTTAAAGAAGTGCAACCTTTTTATTTTAAATTTTTTAATTGGGAGGGGAAGAACACTTGCACAATACAAGTAAAAGAAAGGATAGAAAGATATTTTTTTAACAAAAAATGGGTACATTTTTTCAAAATTTTTTTTACTTCACACACGTATCAAATTATTACAAAATATTTTTCTATAAAAATTATAGAAAATGGCAATCTAAACAAGATCAAAATATCCATATATTTTGAGCACAGAAGTAGAGTGGGACGGGGCACAAGAGAGGGCAGTTTGTGAATAAAAAACCATCCGGTGACACCCGGCGAAAGATTCCACCAACGGAATCCAATCTTTGCTTCAACCCTTCACCAACCGAAGCAACCCAACACCTCAACCCTCAAATTCCTCGAAGCCTAAAGCCACCTGCTTTTCCCAGTTGGTATAACTTGCACCACCAATTTCCAGTCACAAATTTCTACTGGAAGGATAAAAAAATAAAAAAACCCCGAACTCCTTCAGAATCATCTTCAACAACCACCAAGTACAATTAAACCGGTCGACCCAATACCTGCCCGGAGGCTGACGTGACCCAGACCCGTAAGCTCAATCCGGACCCAGAGAAACCCGAGGACGAGACCACCCAGAAATGCGAAAATCATCAGCATCATCATCACAGCCCAATACTGCATAGGGCAGGGAGAGCTATGAGACTGGTGGTGCCTCTGCAAGGGGTAGTACAAGGCAGGGGTGGCCTAATACTGGGCTCCTTAATCCCATGTGCACTCTACTATTTCCTCCAGTTTTACCTCAAACGACGCCGTTCTCCACCCCCTCCCCCTCCTTCCAGCCCTCGCTCACCGTCCACGTCATCCGTCAACCTGGCCGACTTGCCTCGTTCGTCTTCCCGCTTAAGTTTATCCACGCGGGGGTCCATCGGCCGAGTACACGTGTCAGCTAGGGCCAGTTCCATTGCCAAGCCCAATACTTCGCCCTACTACATTGGACTGGACAGGGTTCGAGGGGATCCATATGACCCGGTGCAGAATCCGGGCGGTATTATTCAGCTGGGATTAGCTGAAAATCGGGTGAGAATATTACGTCGCATTCCCCATCTTCCATGTGTGTGTACGTATTTCAAATTTCTAGTGATAGGATGTTGTGAGATATGGTATTAACTGTCTCGTGTATGTCCTGTTGAAGTTGACATTGGATTTGATTGAGGAATGGCTGTCAAAGCATATGAATGAAGCGGTGTTGCTGGGAGGAGTTGATGGTGGTTTAAGTATTAGTGGAATTGCCCCATACCAGCCGTCTGATGGATTGATGGAGTTGAAAGTGGTAATGAATCCTCCAATGCATGCTACTACAGTGGTTGTACTTTTGTAGAAGAAATTTAATGGTTTAGGCTTTTATTAGTATCATTTGCCAAAGGATAAAGCGTCTCGGTTTGGTTATTCAAAGCTTCTGAAGTAGCAGTTGAATGAAAACACAATCAATTTTATGTTTGAAGCTCAGTTCCTTTGACGGAATTGGGTTCTTGAGTTGTATGTTGTCTGGATGAAAAATTGCTTATGCCTGAATTGGAATCTTGTTTTATAGGTAATGGCAGGTTTCATGACTCAGGTCATGGGAGGAACTGTCTCTTTTAATCCATCACAACTGGTATTAACATGCGGTGCAACTCCTGCAGTTGAGATACTCTCCTTTTGTCTGGCTGACCAAGGGAATGCATTCCTTGTTCCAACACCCTATTACCCTGGGTAATGCGGCAACAACTTTTTTTTTTTGTTTTCTTCTTACGGTTTTAGAATTAAGTGTCAATGTTCATCATGCTATTAGTTGGTGTCTGACAAAAGGGCAGGCGAATTGGGGAATTCTGACTTCGAATCCTGAATAAAACACTCACTATCCTTGCCAAGGGATAGGATCTATCCACTTTGAGAAAGCTGTTTACCAGCTAGTAGTGAGACAAGTCAGCACCGAGTCATTAACTGTAAATTCGGTCTTCAAGCATGGTTAAGCACATATATCCAGTAATGGATCAGATTGTAAGATAGTCATTTTGATGTTTCAGTTATTTGTTTCAAACATTTTCATTCCAGTTAAAAAGATCAACTTTGCATTTCTGAGGGCTTGTGTTTATCTCTATTGTCTTTTTCCTCTTTGGCATGATTTCTAATTAGATTCCCAGTTTGCAGTTTTGATAGGGATATAAAGTTCCGCACAGGTGTGGAGCTCATACCTGTTCACTGTCGCAGCTCAGAAAATTTTGTGCCGAGCATTGCTGCTCTTGATCAGGCATTTAATCAGGCCAAAAAACGAGGTCAAAAAGTTCGTGGGATACTCATTACAAATCCTTCAAACCCGGTAGGAAACCTGCTGTCAAGGGAAATCCTATATAATCTCTTAGATTTTGCCAGAGAGAGGAACATTCACATTATATCAGATGAAATATATGCTGGGTCAGTGTATGGTGATGAGGAGTTTGTAAGCATGGCAGAGATTCTTGACTCAGAAGATTTTGACAAGGATCGGGTTCATATAGTATATGGGGTTTCAAAAGACCTTTCTCTTCCAGGCTTCAGAGTTGGTGCTATATATTCGTTCAACGAATATGTTTTGGCTTCTTCAAAAAAGCTAGCTAGATTTTCCTCAATTTCTGCTCCAACCCAGAGGATTTTAGTTTCTTTACTATCGGATTCTGGGTTCGTGCAGGATTACCTCCAGACTAATAAACAGAGAATTCGCAGATTACATGACTTGTTTGTGCTTGGTCTTGAACAATTAGGAATTGAAAGCACAAAAAGCAGCGCTGGTTTTTATTGTTGGGTAAATATGAGCAGATTAATCAGCCCATACAACGAGAAAGGGGAGCTTGAACTGTGGGAGAAGCTTTTAGATATAGCCAAGATCAATGTAACCCCTGGCTCGGCTTGCCATTGTATTGAACCTGGATGGTTTAGATGCTGTTTTACTACACTAGATGATACGGATGTCGGTGTTGTTGTAGATAGGATACGTAATATTGTTGAAACTTGTAAATCTCCAGCTTAAGAAACTTCTGAGAGTGGTATTAAATGAACGGATTGTTGGAATAACCACACAATAATGATCACACATAATTCAGGACTTGAGCTGGCCACTACCGGTGATCGACACAGAGTGATAGCACCTTTTTAACTTGAAAATCATACAGCTAAATTTGGAGTTTTAATATGCTTATCTAATAGAAGGATTTGAAGTTGCTGATTAATGCAACTGTTCAGATGTCTATTGGACTCGTCTTTTACAACAGTTTTAGTTGTAGCTGCCTTGTCCATCTCCTGTGAAATCTGCCAACAAAGTTGCTTGATCCAAGGATCCAGCGTCCAACTGCATTCTTCTTCATGAAGTCCTGCCATCAATTTATGGTCATGTGGCTAGATTTTCTTATACACAACGATCATGGTTGCAGTTTTCACGTTGTTACCATTATAGCGGATGAAAGACATGCATGGAAGTTGTGTAATCAATCTTTCCTTATTTGGGGAAGATGTGTTAGGTTTCGCGCAAGTTATTTGTGTTACTGCACCAGGAAAACGATCTGAGGCTACCTATATGAAATGCATGTTTGTAGAATGGTGGAAAGTTACCTTAGAGAGATTCTGTGTCTGCATTTGAAAGGCTTTCCTCTGGTAACTTCTTCTTCTGCTCATCATTATTAGCTCTCCCAGTGTGTGTGGTTTTCTCAATGCAGCACTGTAGTTCCTTTCACAGTCAATATCCTCTTTTTGCCTCGTTGTTTGGGTAGGAGAAATTTCCTTTTCTGAGCTGCCAACCTTTTCCAGGATATTAGATTGAGGGGTTAATAAGGGGAAGAGCCATTCCAGAAAAGAAGCGCCTACTAGGTTTGTATTTCCAGTTTCATAGCTGCTGGTACTGCTTCCTGTTTCAGAGGCTGGTGAGGCAGGTCTCTGAAGCTGCCCACTGCTAAGACCTGCAAAGGAGGTTTGTTGAACAGGAACAGCATTTGAAATAGCAACCGTCGGTACAAGGCGGTTGGCCAAGAGAGAAGGCGCTGAACAGAAAGAATCATCTGCTTCAGATTCACATGATGCTGGATACGACTCGAGCATTTCGATCTGATCACCATCTTGGTCATTCATGCCAGTCCAACAATTTTCACTGCCCAGAAAATGTCTGGGAGATAGAGGGAAGCTGCTAATGTTTGGTAGTGGTAGCGCAAGTGGTGAACCTGAAGGCTGCTGCGAGAAGCAGGGAAGCGGTTTTCCGGGCTTTTCTTCCCATTGAAAGGGTACTGAAGCGATGAACTTGACTGGTGGTGCGACGGGCTTCTTAACAGGAGCAGTGGGTTTCCAATCCCTCTTTGGTGTGCCTGGAATTTCTTCCCAAACAAATGGAACAGAAATTGCTTGCTTTATTCTCTTCCTGGTGGTAGCATCGGAGGGTTCATTCTTTTCCATGGCAGTTTCTCGTCTATCTTCCATATCCATGGTTTTTTAAGCGAGTGTTAACCCGCGCAGTGTTATATATGTGATGTGTTCGTTCATATGCTGGAAGGTTAGTGGGTTAGAACGGTCTGCAACTAGCTCCACCTGCCAACCGCACCATTTTGTGGTACAAAAGATTAGGCTCACCGGTTACCTGTTGTCTGATTAAACAAAAATTGTGTGTAAAAAGCGGATTTTGCTTGTCGCGGCCCGTCTTTGGCAGCTTCAAGAATCTATGGGAGATAAACTGCCCACCGATTTGACCAAGTCTTCGCGCCAAAGCATGTGAAAATTGAAAATGGGCTTCTTCGTTTAGATAATTTAGCACGTCGCAGTGGTGTTTTTGCAACTAACCCCTTCACAATTTTGACCGGAAAATGTGCAGCAACATATCCATTCCATATTCAAATTGGAAGTCAGATGTCTAGTCTTCCTACTAATTCTATTAGGGACATGACGTTTACAGCCCTCACAATGAGGTTGACAAAATGTTTAAACTACTACAATTTATAATGCAACTTTGTGTTTGGCTGTTGGTCTAAGGAAGGGGAGAGAAAAGAGGAGGAGGACGAGCATGAAGAATCCCTAACCGCTGTCAGCAATCTTTTATTGCTTTAGATTTTGTGGTGTGTTTCGTAAAGGGATGCTGTTGGAGTTCAAAGAAAGTTAAAAGGTCTCAAAATAATAAGTATGTTGCATGGACTTGCAACCCCAACTCCAGCGGGTGTACTGGCTTCATTTGGATTGGCTTATTTTTTTAAAAATAAGTTTTTCAATTACAATACTACGATCATATATAAATAAAAATAATTTAAAAAGTATCTCATCCATACAATATATCAAATATTTCAAAAAAACATCTAGAGTCTGTTACATTAAAATATTTCAAAAATACCCTTAAAAACTGCTATAGTAAAATATTTAAAACACTCCCAAAAATAGTCTTTCTTTCTGCTCAGAAGAAGAAGCAACTCGAAATTTGTACATCATGTAATGAATTAGTATTTGCAATAAATTCATCTTTAAAAATATTAGATGCTATAAGAAAAGAAAACTATTGTGCGTGGCAGAGTTGAAAGGAAAAAAAAAATTTTCAGAAACACATTTAAATACTTTCTTAAAAATAATATCCATAACGAGACCATTTGTTAAAATATTATTGTTCATGGGTGATAGAATAACTAATTTGTGACTGTGTGTCCAGCGCAAAATCTTAATCTTAAGAGACTTTGTCATTTCGTGACAAACTTTATGTAGTAGTTTCATTGGCTTTGTTTGACCGATGACTGACCAACTAAGGGACCCTATTCCTATTGGGGGAAATTTGGCTGACTTTCCGTCCAAAACTTGAGTTCGATAGGTTGCTCGTACTGGTTCAGACTTTGATTTTTGGACACTTTTTTGGGCCACAAAAATTTGAGTTTGGGGCAAAAACCCCAAATTTAGGCTGGCACGTGAATTTTTTTCAGTGGAGCTGAGCTTGGGATTAGTAATGGTCAACAGGCAAGCCCATCTACTTTGCTACCGGGAGAGGCAGCTCAGAACCTCCAATTTGCCCTTAGTACGAATCCAGTTGTGTTTCGGAGACGGAGTCGCAAACTCTTTTCTGCTCCGCTTTGTATAGTATTGCTTTCCCTGTCTTTATAATATCAATATGTATATCCCATCAGATTCCATGGGAGTAGGTTACAAACTGGGGAGCGTAGAATTGCAGTAAGATGAAGAAGACAGACGAGACGACAAGGGGAGGGGATGCGCTGATAAGTTAAAATGGATTCTAGAGAAAAAAACAAAGTGCAGATGGTGAATGCCTCTTCTACGAGCAGCTACAGGCAGCAGCAGCCTGATCCGCTTCCATGTGCTAAACCGTGCGGAAGTTATGCGAATCCGGCTACTGACAACCTCTGCTCCAGGTGCTACAAAGATTATTTGGAAAAATTAGAACAAGTTAAGTTGACGGTTAAGACTAAGAAGATGAAAGCCTCCTCAAAAGTAGACATTCCTTCCACGAATCCATTCCCCCATGTTTTGCTGAAGCCAACAACAAAACTGCTACCCACGTTTCAACAAAGAATAACCGATGCCATAGCTGTAACAAAAGAGTTGGACTATTGGGGTTCGGTTGCAGGTGCCGAGGAATGTTTTGCAGCGCCCGTCGGTACCCGGAAGAGCATGCATGCAACTTCGACTGTAAGTCCCAAGCTCGCATTGCTTTAGCTGAGGAAAATCCTTTGTGCAAAGCTGACAAGTTGGTCAATAGACTATGATCGAATCAATGGCTGCAAGACCATTCCTTCCTTCCTTCCTTCCTTCTATAGGTGTTTTCATTTAAAAAAAATATATGAGTATCACACTAGCTAGGTCTGTATTTATGCCACCGAATATGCTTGTTTGTTTTGCAATGTTGTATAGAATCCCATTATTATTCGTTTTTGAATTTCTCATTTTCCTCTTTTTTTGGAAGATACAGAAAATTTGAACCATCATCATCACAGATGTAGGATTTGTTATCTTCAAGATTTTGCTTGAAATTTAAAAGCCATAAGACATGTTTATACACTTCAGTTTTCCGTCCAATATTTAGTCATCTGTAGTCTATAGACCAACCACATATTCATATGGCCGATTCATCAATAATTTGTAGTATCTCGCAGGTGTTAATGACACGTAGTTCCATTAGTTGAACATCAAAATTGTTGATGCAGTTCAAGCAATTCACCGAGTCATCCCCTTCGCCCTTGTCCGAAACTAAAAGAGTTCAGACCCAATGTGTCCAATTACTACACAATAAAGGGTTTCCTCTGGGCCGCAATGAATACCGCATCCATGATCCAGCAAATGGCCCGATTCTCCACCCCAGCCCAAAATCCAATTATGGGACCGACCGTGTATCGTTCGTGAGGCTGGGAGGTCCTATTATATTATTGATTGATTTATAGTTAGCACTAGGGGTGTTTCGCGAATCGAGCCGCTCGCGAGCCGATCGTGAGCGGCTCGAATACGAGCTCGACTCGAGCTCGTCAATATCGAGTTCGAGTCGAGCTCGAGCCAATTAAATCGATCTCGAGCTCGAGCTCGAGCTCAAAAACATTAAGCTCGTTGGCTCGCGAGCGGCTCGCGAGCTCAATTATATATTTATTTTTTATTTTTTATTTAATAGTAAAATTACATATATATCCCTAATATTTTATTATTTGTTAAAAAAATTATTATTTTATTCATTTTTAAAAATAAATATTTATTTTTATTTTTTTAAAAATAATAATAATTATTATTATTTTATTTATTTTTTAAGCTCGAACTTGATATTTTGAGCTCGAGCTTCACAAAATTAACTCGAGCTCGGCTCGTTTAGCCAAAGCTCGGCTCGAGCTCGGCTCGTTTGCACCCCTAGTTAGCACTGTCGAAACATGAAGAAGAGGTCTTATTCCTTATTCACCTTTTGAAGGCATAGAATTGACATTATTATTATTCTTTCGAATGGATGTTCCTTTTGATAACGGAGCGCTTAAACTTTACAATGTGAAGTAAGCGAAGTGTTAAAAAGGTAATATTTACGGACAAAAATGCCAGCCAATATTCATCAAATTTCAAACCTAACGTAATGGTCCTAGGATTCTTTAGCTTTATGTCCGGTGAAGGCGAAAGGGTGTTATTCCATTCTTGCAAAAGCTTTGGTTTTTTTTTTTTTTTTTTTACTTTTCCTTTTTTTTTTCACCAGCATGATTAATCCAGTACCATATCAGTTCCTTACTTTCCGTCATTTCAAAGAGGGGA